TATATATATATATATATATATATATATATTACTTTCTCATGTAAACGCGCATGCATGCATGCCTGCATGCATGCATGCAAACAGATGCATGCATGCAAACAGATGCATGCATGCATGCATGCAAACAGATGCATGCATGCAAACAGATGCATGCATGCATGCATGCATGCGTTTGTTTGTGGCCCACAGTGGTGTAAGTGATGGTGACGGGGGCTGGCCTCGCTTGCAGTATTTCTGCTGCATTCTCCGGCAGCACCGCCCGCAGCTCTCTCTTTAAAACAGAAGCTAGACGATGCGCTGTGCCTGCAGCAGCAGCAGCAGCAGCAGCAGCAGCAGCAGCAGCAGCAGCAGCAGCAGCAGCAGCAACAGCAGCAGCAGCAGCAGCAGAACGAGGGCACAGGGAGACGTCAACGGGTGTACAGACAAAGACAGCTGGCTTTGCTGCAGCAGCAGCAGCTGCTGCAGCAGAGTGCCAAATACGCAGCAAACAACGCAGCAAACACCAGCAGCAGCAGCAGCAGCAGCAGCAACATAGCATGCAGACAGCTGCGGTGTACCTGCAGCACGGAGGTCAGCAGCCATTCGCTTCAAAGAAGAAATTGCAAAAGAAAAACGAAGACGAAGCCCCCCCAGTACAGCAGCCAACGCGCCCGCCGATGCTCCTGCAGCAGCAGCAGCAGCAGCAGCAGCAGCAGCAGCAGCAGCAGCAGCGGCAGCAGAGGAGGGAAGACAGCAATGACTTTACCAGCAGCTGCTGCAGCAGCACACAAGGGGAACACCAGCAGCAACAGCAGCAGCAACAGCAGCAGCAACAGCAGCAGCAACAGCAGCAGCAACAGCAGCAGCAAAAACAGCAGCAAACGATGCAAACAGCAGCAGCACGATCCGGCGCAGCAGCAAAACACAAACAGACACAGCAGCAACACAAGCAGCAGCAACAGCAGCAATACAAGCAACAGCGGCAACAGCAGCAACACAAGCAGCAACAACACAAGCAGCAGCAACGGCAGCAACCCAAGCAACAGCAGCAACAACAGCAACACAAGCAACAGCAGCAACACAAGCAGCAGCAACAGCAGCAGCACCAGCACCACCACCACCACCAACAGCAGCAGCAGCAGCAGCAGCAGCAGGAGCAGCAGCAGCAGCAGCAGCAGGGTGTGTACCTGCAAGGGGTGTGTACTGATGCACGACGTTGAGCTCACAAAGATAACTTAAAACCCCAAAGTGGTAGGGGGCCAGCAGCCCAGCAGGAGAGAAGGAGAAGCCGAGCGGGGCCTTGTATAGTGCTGCTGCTGCTGCTGCTGTTCCTGCTGCTGCTCCTGCTGCTGCTGCTGCTGCTGCGTCGACGGGTCCGTCGGGGACAGATGATCCTGCATACAAACAACAAAGGGAAGCAGAATCATAACTTTGCTGCTGCTGCTGCTGCTGCTGCTGCTGGTTTTGCTGCTGTTGCTGTTGCTATTGCCGCTGCTGTTGCTGCTGCTGCTGGTGTTGCTGCTTCTACCTCTCATGCTGGTTCTGCTGTTGCTGCTGCTGCTTCTGCTGCTGCTGCTGCTGCTGCTGCAAAAGGGGAAGAGAAATGCACAGGGCGACTCAGCA